TAAGTCATGGCGCATGTGCATATCGGTACTCAATTTAGCTTTACGATTTCCTATACGGTCGACAAACACGCTGACAACAGCCAATGTTTTTGGCAAATTTTCGAGTTAACACAGCGCCAAATTGCAAAATTTGACATGGTCGTACGTGTTGCACAAGCGTTCGCGACAGATGAATTTGAAATCTTTAGCTTGCACATGCACAGAGAATAATCTTGCAACGCTTCAGCTTTGTACCTTGACTGGTCACAAAATCTTTTCTTGCCAAAGAAATCTGCATATTTTTTTCGGGGGTCCGTATGCGGGATCTAGAAGCGTGTGTAGGAAGATCTTGAAACAGGTGTGTGACACACAGGGTAGGAACATATACCCAAAATTTTAGTCTCCCATTTCCTGGTTGCTGAGATGAAAGTGGGTGACAAAATTCACTTGCTTCTGAACACACACACACACATAGACAACCTCTCAACAATATGCACTTTTGCTGGCTGTAGCAGTTATAGCACTGCACAGCAAAACGCATAAAAAGTTGTCTTTTCCTCATTTACACAATTAATAACCTTCTTTTTATTCGAAAGATGCATTTTTAAGTTTTTAGTCATTAACAAGTGCACTAGTCGAAAGGTTACTTATCGCACTGCACATGGTAAAAGAACTGAAAAGAATTTTTAAAGCGCATTGTCTTCTGACGTACATTTGGGTTCAGATCGATGTGACTAATTTTGAAAGATTCGAGAGGCAGCGGCGACTTTTGTGCAACTCAGATAAAGATTCCCAGATGTATCTGCGCTTAGAATGTACGGCTGACGATAGCGTCCGCAAGGTACGGATTATCGAAAAGTAAAACTGGAGCGTGGTGAGAAAAGCTGAAAGAGAATTCGTTTTTCCACGCAAAAACTGTTTGGTGCTACCAAATTGGGCCTAAACGATGTTTGTCATTAAAAGTTAAAAAAGTCAATTGTGAAGTTGAATTAAATACTGTAGTCGGTTATTTTTCACTGTTTGGTTTTTGTATGTATGCCTTATGAAATTATAAAAAAGGTGTGATGGTGTACGTAAACAATGTGGAACGGGGTCAACCTGAAATTTATGTGGTATTGGAAGAAGCTCAAGTGGGCGTCCGAATTCGTGAATCATACAACTTGGATATTGATCGACTACCAATGTATCAAGAAAGCATGGGTCTGCTGGACATTGAACTCAGTGTGCCGCCTCAGTACGGTGTTGTAAGTTTCATTTAAAATTTCACCGCAGTTCAATTGGATTTTTTCAAAAAATTTCTTCTGTCTTTTAAAATTACTGGCCCTGCTCCCCCTTCTGCCTAAAATTATTTTAACATCTCCAGATGCAAAAATACTGACGGCTTTGTTTTCAGCTTTTCGGCCCACCCTGTATCTTATCTCTTCTTGTGTTTTATGACAAAAGCTGGTGGGAGATGACAAGACGCGCAGCTACAGATTTTGCCCTTCATCACGCGTTTTTGCACATTTATGCAAATGCAAAAACGCATATTAATGAAAGGTTATCGATGTGTGTATGTGTGTGTTTGCACTTCTGCTCCCAGTCAACTCAGCAA